GTCCACCTTTCGAAAGCGCTCGGGTTATTGGGTTATTTATCTTTATATACGTATATATTAATATCTTAGAGATACGGTGTAGCACTTTCTGTGTTAGCATGTACTCCATATATGGTAATATACTTATTATCGGTTAAGGCTGCCTTTAAATTTTTTATATTATACATGTGTTATTAACTGGTTTGTTAAACCTAAAGCTGGTGTATCGCAAAAAAAGAAAAACTGGATGTTTAAACAGGTTATCTTTATTTTTTGTTTTCGGTTTGTTATCACTGATACAGTACTGTTTTCTGGTATTTACGTAATGCTTTAATATTTGTTTCTTTTGTCATAAACTTCAGGGGTACAACATCTGGAACCTCCGAAACAAACTAGTTGCGCCCATCATTTTGTAATCATATACAGAAATATACAATACTATGTTCACAGACACACAAACCCTTGATCGTTTCTTCTTGTGTCATAACACGTAATAGGTGTTTGTCTAGGAATGCGCGAAACAAGCTACACAAAGGTCTAGATGGGCACAGCCGTCCCTAACACTGAACTTACAGATGAGAGACAAGACGGCTATTCAACAGCACCAACTACCGTCATCTCTTAGGCTACTCTTGTCTGATCGAACAGTGGGATTTGACCACCGCTCTTGTAGCACATCCACGACCTTAAAGTACGAAGTGGGCTTTTGTAGCAATGGGACGTGAACCACACGTTCTAGGGTTCACAGTTCTGGGCAAGCTAACCAATATGCCACGCCCAACAAAATAGGCAGTCATACAGAGTCTGTGAGGCAAACATAAATAAAAGTAGTTTCGTATACACAGTAATGACAATCTAGAGTAACTTGTATCTTAATGTTACATTTTCGCCACCAAAGTTCACCACAGAAGGAACATTTATAACACAAGAATAGTACGAGATAAGCTTCTATTAAACTATAAACAGGGAACGTACTTATAGAAGAAGTAATAGGGATGTTTACGATAGGATGTTCGTGATGACAAGAAAAAACTATGAATTTTACAGAGTGTTCCAAAATTCTCTAAACAGCTCAGTCCTTCCTAAACAAGATTAGCGTCGAGTCTGGCGGAGAAGTCCTCATATAGGAACAGCAGTAGGTAACCAAGCGCGCGAGAGTTTGTTAGGCTTCGCAACTTTCCGTGCTTCTGGACCGGACGTCAGTTTAAGAGGATTTGTAAAGCTATTAGGAAAGCCCATAGTTCGTGTTTAAATCGTATACAAGTGACGTTTGTATCCGTAAACCTGAAACACTCTTATTTCACGTATTCGTAGATTAATTATATAAACGTTATTTAACCATGTCGGATTTCACCGGACTGATGTTAATTCTTGTATAATCAAGATACATAACATTAAAATCAGACTTAAATATATTTACATCCTTTATCAACTTTTCATTTCTGTAACTTTTGGGATGAGAAATAATTAGGCAGAAACACACAGTCTGACATTTACAAAAAGAAAAAAAAAAGTTAAAATGGCGTTATTCGTACATTCACCTTTTCCAAAGATCCAATGCCATTGGTAAAAAAGTAATAATGTTAAAAAAAAATTGGGGGGCTCACTGTATTATTTTGTGAGCTTCAGTATTATTTGTGTGTGTGTGTGTGTGTGTGTGTGTGTTAAGCGCAAAGCTACATAACAGACTGTTTACACTGTGACTACCGCGGGCATCAAACCCCGAATTTTAACGTTATATAAGCCCTCGGGTTTACCGATTAGCCATTGCAAATTCGAACATATCCTATATACAGGATGAAGCGAAAGTGGTCATACAGTTGTTTCATTTAGAACATAGTTTAATATCTAACTGTTAGTTATACAGTTGTTTCATTTAGAACATAGTTTAGGATTTATAACATAGTTTAATATCTAAGTGTTAGTTATACAGTTCTTTCATTTAGAACATAGTTTAATATCTAACTATTAGTTATACAGTTGTTTCATTTAGAACATAGTTTAATATCTAACTGTTAGTTATACAGTTCTTTCATTTATAACATAGTTTAATATCTAACTGTAAGTTATACAGTTGTTTCATTTATAACATAGTTTAATATCTAACTATTAGTTATACAGTTGTTTCATTTAGAACATAGTTTAATATCTAACTGTTACTTATACAGTTGTTTCATTTATAACATAGTTTAATATCTAACTGTTAGTTATACAGTTGTTTCATTTACAACATAGTTTAATATCTAACTGTT